TACATTTTCTTTTCTTTAACAAAACCTAAATGATGATGCATAATAAGTTAAAGTTGTAAAAATAGATTTTTACTACAGTAACGGAGTGGACGAATTACATCTTAAACAACAGCAATAAACATTAGCTGTACTATTTCCTTCATTATTACAATCTGAAGGATTTTTGAGTGAATTTCACTGTGTTTTTTTTTTTCATTTTGTTTATCATCAGGATTTGGCATAGTTACATAGCTGAAAAGAGACTTGCGTCCATCAAGTTCAGACTTCCTCGCATTTGTTTTTTGCTGTTGATCCAAAAGAAGGCAAAAAAACAAACAAAACCCCAGTTTGACAGTTTGAAGCACTTCCAATTTTGCAACAAACTAGGAATAAAAAATCCATCTTGACCCCAGAATGGCAGTCAGATTAATCCTTGGATCAAGAAGCTGTTACCCTACATTGAAAGATTATATCCTTGAATATTTTGTTTTTGCAAATATGTATCTAGTTGCTGTTTGAACATCTGTACGGACTCTAATAAAACCACTTCTTCAGGCAGAGAATTCCACATCCTTATTGTTCTTATGGTAAAAAACATTTATTTTGCCTTAGACGAAATCTTCTTTCTTCCAGTCTAAACACACAATCTATGTCCTATGTATAGTCTGGTTTGTGAATAGATTTCCACACAATGGTTTGTATTGGCCTCGGATATATTTGTATAATGTTATCATGTCCCCTCTGAGGCAATGTTTTTCTAAACTAAAGAGGTTTAAATTTGTTAGCCGTTCATCAAATCTGAAATGCTCCATTCCTTTTATTAATTTTGTAGCCCGTTTCTGCACTTTTTCTTGTGCCATAATATCCTAATATAGAACAGATGCCCAAAATTGCACAGCATATTCAAGATGTGTGTGGCAAATCTAGCCACTCCAGGCTGCTATGTTATGTATATGGTGCTATCCCTTTGAGATTGCCTGCCCATGTCTGTATTTATATTCCATATGTGTGGCAAACCTAGCCACTTTAACCCTGTCTTTATATACCTAAGGCTAGCGCTTGTACTGTATCTGTAACAGACCTAGCCACTTAAGAAATGTCAGCATGTAAAGGTTCAGGCTGTTTCACCTATCGCCAGTATATGTCTAGAACATTCATGTGTTTCCAACACACAAATACTGCCAGCGTTCCGCTTAGAAATCCACAGACAGTGAAGCTCAACACTGTTCGTGGAACGAGCAAATCCCTAATGGGAGACAACACCAGCAGGTCGTGTGTCTCCCATTAAACCATGCAACATTGTAATAACAGCCAATTAATGTGTGCTGTGGGTGGCCGCCGTTTGTGTACCGAACACGTGACGGTGGCCATCTTTGTTCTTGGAGACCCAGCAGAGTTTTGCTGGAACTAAAATCGTCTACTCGGCGGCACGAGCCCCGCTAGAAATCGGTTCTTTCGGGAGTTTCACCCCCTCAGTCAGTTCATTAATTTCAATGCTGGTTGGTCTGAACATGCAATTCGAACAGTGTTCATTTAATTGTGCAGGGATCTAAACGCTAGTTCACTCAATGATGCGCTCAGATCCCAGCTATGTAACAAGGGGTCTTTTAACTAAATGTCAGGAATATTATGCCAGTTATGGATATTAATGTAAAAAGATGTATTTTACTGTACGAGGAGATAATCCCATTAATGATACATTCTTGGGTGATTATCTCTCTAGTACAGCAGTGCATGCTGGGAGATAGCCCTGCAAGTTAAGTCCCCCACGTAGTCCACTACTGGACAGCCCCTGCAAGATCACTTTGGAAACCTTGCATGGGGAACTGCATAAATACTGTAACCTGTGAATAAAAGCTCAGTTGACCTCCAAGCTATGTGTCATCTAGTTCTTGGGAGAAAATGATTGTGATTATGCTACCTTTATTTTACCTACATTTTACCTGCTTTATCCTGACTACCAGCGGAGATACCGTGGATAATACAAGTACTCCACTACAATGTGGTCTTACCTTTTTCTTTGCCTCTTATAAAAAGGCAAAATTATATTCTTATCCCAAGAATTAATGCCCTTTTTGATGCATGACAATACCTTTTAAAGAGGCAAAATGATATTCTCATCCCAAGAATTAATGTCCTTTTTCATGCATGACAAAACCTTACTAGCCTTAGATACTGCTGATTGACATTGCACATTGTTGCATAGTTTGTTGTCTATAACAATTTCCAGGTGCTTTTTGTGTGATGTTATTCTTAATTCGCTTCCATTTTGTATAAGTTGCTTGTGCATTCTTTACACCGAAGTGCATAACTTTGCATGTTTCAACATTAAATGTCATCTGTCATTTGAGTGCCCAGTCCCTCAGTCTATATAAATCCCTCTGCAGCAAAGTAATATCCTGCTCACATGGTATTACTGTACAGAGTATTGTGTCATCTGCAAACACTGAAACATGACTCTCAATGCTTTTTTCAAAATCATTTATAAACATGTTGAATAGAAGGGGTCCCAGAACAGAACCCTGAGGGACACCACTGGCCACCTCTGTCCAGCTTGAGAATGTACCATTAATGACAACTCTTTGTACTCTATTTTATGTCAATGTTCTGCCAGGGGGAGATGAAGGTGAACAGCTCTTGAGGATTAATCGGCATGAACACTTTAGGACATTCACTGCAACATATATAAACACAAGCATCAATACTACTAAAATAACTCCAATGAGAATACGTTTTCCCATTGTTCCCAACCAATTAGTTAAAAAAAACTCCAGTCAAAACCCCAATTTAAACCTCCCGAAGAAGTATTGTGAACTTCTCTAAGTTTAATTTGTACTTCATGCAATTTATCTACATCTGTATGAATCTGACCAGTAACATTATCTATCTTTAAACAACATCTTGTTTTTATTAGTGCACAAATGCCACCTTTGGAGGCCAACAAGTAATCTAGGGCAAACCTATTTTGCATAATCATAGCTGAAGCTTGTTCCTGTTCTACAGACAATTTTTCAATAGCATCTCCTGTATTATTAAAGGCTTCATCTAGTATATCTCCTAACAAATTTTATTTGTACATTAATTCAATAACCCCCCCATGTAGGTACAAAACCTGCAAATAGCCTATCTCCTTCACCAGATTTTACAGTTCTTTCGGTTTTATCTTTTTTGGAACTAATAACCTTTCTTTTATTCCTCACCCTTCCTTCAGGCAAATTTTCATGAAGGGTTAACGCTGGGATAATATTACCTAGATAACCAATTGCATGGAAGTCTTTTTACCGCCCAACTACCAGATAAATAGTATACCCCAAATGGAAGATGAATATCAATAACACGAGAATCTGAGCAGTCAAAAATAGGTTGATTAATATAGGGCAGTAGCATAAAAAGATTGGAAGTTAAAGCTTGAGTATTAAAGTAGGCCCATCTCAAAATAGTGACATTTAAATGTTCATTCTGGTCATAATTATTATCCATGATTTCTACCTCAGGAGTCAAATTTACCCATACATGATTAGTAATCACCGGGATTTTATCCTTGATGGGACACTTTGTTAAAATATCTTCTAATAAGGGTTTCCAACAAAAAGCTTTCAATCTACCAGTACAAGGGGCAGAATTAGTTTCAGACCCACATAGATTATAAAGGACATTGTTTTCAAAAATAACAATAGCATTGCTTATAGGCTTAACAATCTTGTCAGGACTTTTCTGATCCCTGTTAGAAATTACTACTGCTCCGCTAGTAATAGGATATGTTAAATGAACCTTAGCAGGTTCCTCAGATTTGGATACTTCATTCTGAATAAATCCAACAAACCCCGTTTTATTTGCTCTTACTCTCTCATAAAGAGATTCCATAGACCATGGCACCCCCACAAAAGGATAACCATAGTTCATGGAATGCGGAGCAAACCCACAAACCCAACAATGATTACTTTTGTTTGACAATTTATACAATTCAGTAGCTGTTTTAACGAAATGATTATCTATCTCCCAAGAAGAAAAATACTTGGCTCCCTGGCCCAAGCTACACGTGTATTAAAGAAAAAAGAGGAGCTAACGTAGTGTAGAGGATGAAAAATTTTAAAAATGTCATAATGACAATCATTAAGGACAATATAAGTTTAACCAGTTTGAGATTCATGAAGAAAAACAGTAGAGTTGACTTTGGATTAGAAAGATACTCCCCTTAAAAAGTACCCCTTTTTATAAGGGAAAACGGCTTCCTTAGTCCTCTATTCTTCTTCCAGTGAAAAAATCTTTTCCAGCGCTTGTCAGTTTACAATGGGAAATGTGGATCCAAGGTTTAACCCCTGCGACTTTAACAGCTGAATTAATGGTTAATAACACTTGAGAAGGTTCTTTCCACCTTGGTTGCAACGTGTGCTTTCATGAATGGTCTTCTATCATAACATAATCTCCAGGAGCGATGGCATGCAAAGGTTGGTATTCACTTGTTCGCTGTACAGCTTTTACCTGCATATAGAGAGACTAATCGTTTTGTTAGCTACATGCAATATGTCATTACTAAATCATCATTTATCTCATGTGAATAAAATTTTATAGGTACCTCTCCTGTGAACATTGGTCTTCCCATTAGAATTTCATGAGGGGATAACCCTGCTTTCAAACTAGAGAGAATCTCATAGACATTAAGGCAAGAGGAAGTGCATTAAGCCACTTTAACTTTCTCTGCTGCAATTTTTGCAATTTTGTTTTTCAATGTTCCATTGGCCCTTTCTACTGCTCCTGCTGACTGGGGATGATGAGAGCAGTGTAAATGGTAAGGGATTTGCAAAATTTTTGCTATCTGTTGCACTACTTTTCCTGTGAAATGTGTTCCCTGATCTGAGTAAATGTGCCAAGGCAATCCATACCTGGGTATAAATTCTTGTAACAATTTCTTAGACACTGTAGACATATCGGCATGGCAACAAGGATAAGCCTCAATCCAACCTGAGAATGTATCTAATATTACTAGCACATACCGATACTGCATTTCCTTTGGTAATTGAATGAAATCCATTTGTAAATTTACAAATGGACCTCATGGACAGGGAGGATGATTTAGCTGCTTAATCTTAGGTCTCTGACCTGCATTGTATTGTAAACAAATAACACATGAAGAACACACCAGTGCCAATACAGATTCTAGGCCCAGCCTTGACCATTCAGAATTAAACAATGATGGCAATGCTGGTCTTCCACTAAATATACATTCTCCCCACCAAAATCACTTACTTCTTCTTCCCTCAGTATCACATACAATTCATTTACTTTAAAATGTACCATAGGTTCTGGACCTTGGGTCACAGGTACACTAACAATACATATTCAGAACCCAATCTTCCTCTACATCTAGTCTGTCTTTTTCTTCTAATTGCTTTCTTGCCCCCTTTACCTCCTTGCAATCTGTTGCTATATGACCATATCCATCACAATTGAAACATTTGATAAATGTTCTTACATTATTCTGTGGGGGTCTTCTGGCTGTGTTTTGTCTTGGCTGATGTGCATAATATCTAACAGGCATTTTCCTTGATTTGAATAGCTTGTCAAATTTCTGATGCTGCACTTAATACAATATTAAGTGATTTATCCTGCCATCCCAGTAAGGATAACATCAATTGTTTTTTTACTTTAGCATCCAAACCATATACTAAGGTATTCACTATGAACGGCTTAATTGATTAATTCGTGATATCTTCAAAACCTCCAAAAACCTTAATTGCTTCCGCATATTCATGGGGGTTTTCTCCTTTCTTTTGCACTATGCTATGTATAGTCAATAGGCTGGGTAAAAACTGTTTTTACTTTAATGCTGAGGAATGCATACCAATTCTTAAGGACAACATCACTCCTCTCATCAGGGCAATTTTCCCATATGTGTGCAACTGCTTGTCCCCCCACCCCTGCAGGCCATGAGAAAGGTGACTCATTATATCTTGCCACCCATTTAGTATGTTCTGTAGGGGTTAATACTGTCTCCATTAACTCATTAAGATCTTATGTTGTGGGGAAATAGCTGGCACACATTATTTTTAAATGTTTTACAAACCCATTTGGATCTAGAGGGGCAGGAAATTATACCTATAAAAATGCTATGTCTTGTGGGCTCCACGGTTGACAAATCCTCCGTGGTCTCCCATCATTATTCATCTGTCCCACTTCTCTAATAGGTAAAATCATAGCCTCCCTCCCATCACTCTCAGGCAACACATTGCTATATCCTGATAAACCTGATAGTAACCACAGCATGATCAGCAAATCTTTTAGGCAGTCTAATATCCCTCTCAGGTCTACCACCTCAATGCAACATGGCTGAGGCATCAGCTAAATTTTGGGGTACAAGCTGTGGTGCATCATTCATCTACTGAGGGGAGGTGACCAAAAGAGGGATTCATAATCTCATGATTAATCAAAAAAATCCTCATCATCATTATAAGGCAGAGGATTTTTAACATTTCTTTTTAAATTGTACAGTGAGGGATACAAACAGGCAACACCAGTACCCTCTCCTTTACATGCCCCTCCTGTTGCACCTGACTGGGGGGAACATTCTTGCTTTTTCTTTTCAATTTCCTCATGCCATAACATATATGCAGACCATTCCAGTTTTGAAAGACTTTTTCCATTTAACAACATTGTTCTTAAACTTAACAACCACTGGCCATGGATTTATATTATTCTTAGTTAACTTTGCCCATTTCTTTGAATACATAATATTTGAAGGGCCATATTTCTGTTTCATTAAATAAACTGGGGAGTCACTGGGTATACTATCCCCATGATCAAGCTGCTTGCCATGATTCAACCTCATTTCTGTTACTTGTACTTTTACACACCACTATATCACCTTTTGAGAGATCGAAAGGTCACAATTTTCAGTCTGTATACTGACTGACAACTGGAGTTTACACAAAAATCTCTTCTCAAACGATGTTACAGTTTATCAAAATTTAAACCATATACACAGTTATACAATTTTAACACAATACATCTTACTCAAGTGCTACGTTTAACCTATGAGTTTAAACAATTAATACAAGACAACTTAACTTCACCTTGCTACGTTCAGACTGGGTGAAATTAAGACAATAAAACAAAATAATCTAATCTCATTTTGCTACGTTTAGATTTGGGAGATTAGATTCATGTGGCTAACCTCAACATTTAGCCAATTAATACAAGACAACTTAACTTCACCTTGCTACGTTTAAACTGGGTGAAATTAAGACACTAAAACAAAATAATCTAATCTTGCTTTGCTACGTTTAGACTTGGGAGATTAGATTCATGTGGCTAACCTCAACATTTAGCCACAATCACATGACAGGGATACATCATATCAAAGAGACTCTCACCAACACAGCTACGTTTAGACTTCTGAAGGCCCACCAAACCCCTATTGGGTCTGCGAAGTTTAGTCACTTAAGTCTTCCTAGGGGACTACCTGTCAGTGCTACCACTGATTCTAGAATCATTCAGACATAGACACTAATACTGCAGTATATTTTACAACATAAACATAAATAGTAACGTTACAAATGGTCAATAAAAGGCTAAGAAATCAGGTCACACAGACTAGCATTTATCTGCACCGTTCTTTGTTTCATGGACACTCAAAAATTACACTAATGCCATGTTTTATAAATGGTATGGCTTACCTTTCATATGACCGGTCTGTTTGAGTGCCCACGAAATGGTTGGCAGGTGCAGGTGTTCCGCTGGTGTCTGTGGTATTCTGATCCCGGACAAAGAGCCCCCAACTGTGGAGGTAGACAAAAATATTACCAGGTTTAATAAAAAGCGTTTTAATTGACCATTACAATACACAGAGATATCTCATGGAGATTGGCAAGAAGCAATCTAATATCATGTTACAATTCCTCATATTTTATACATATGACCCGGAACCGGCCTTTCGTTTAGCTTGAATCAGAATTCCAAATATGGTCTTATTTCCTATTGGCTAAATTCTAGCATAACTGACAAATTTAAGGTTCAAAAGTTTAAGCATCCCATGATCTTTCTAACAGATGACTTGACCACAGTCATGCGTCTTACTTCGCTAAAATATCGCTTGTCTATGATAAGAGTTAACACATATAAGACTTCCTCTTTCACAACTTACGCACACATTTCACCTTTCCCCCCCTGGCAACATCTGACAAGACACGCTTTCAAAATAACCTTTCCTTTTGCAATCCAAAAAACAGTCCAGACATCCATTAATAAATTGTAGCAATAAAACATAGTTTCTTCTTATTTCTTAGAGTAAATATTCTTCTTTGATTATATTTTAAGATGATGAATAAACAGCAAAATGGCTGACAGCATGTCAGTAGCAGGTTACATATGTTCACACCAAGAACAAGAATTTTCATCTAGACCGATTTCTTTGAGCTTGAACACTAATCGATTGTGTGGAACTGTATCAAATGCCTTGGCAAAATCCAAATAGATCACATCCACTACAACACCCTGATCTAAACTTCTACTTACTTCTTCATAGAACGCAATCAAGTTAGTTTAACATGACCTGTGCTTCATAAAATTATTAATAACCTTTCAAATACTTTTCCAGTATTTAAGCTCAAAGGTCTATAATTTCCAGGCAAGGATTTTAAACCCTTTTTTAATATAGGAACCACATCTGCCTTCCTCCAATCTTCCGGAACACTTCTGAAAGAAAAGAAACGTGAAAGATTAAAAACAGAGGTTCACTTATTTCTAGTTCCTTAAGTACTCATGGATGAATACTGTCAGGCACTGGAGCTTTGTTTATATTAACTTTCTTTAGTTGCTGCAGA